CCTGCCTGCCCTCCCCCCTCCCTCCAGCCTCAACCCTGCCCTGACTCCTGCACCCCCACAGCCCCATCTCCTGCCCTGAGACCCCCACATCTCCTGCCCTGACTCCTACACCCTTCCACATCCCCCAAGTCTGAGCCCCCCTCTGCCTCATCCCTGACTCCTGTGCCCCCCGGCACCTGCACCATGAGCACCTCCCCACACACCCCAATCCAGACTCCTTCACCCCCCCACACACACTCCTGGCCCCCTGTCCTGAGCCTCTCCTCACACCCCTAATACTCCTGTGCCCACACACCCCATGCCCTGAGCCCCCCACACCTTGACTTTCCCCATCTCCCTGCCTTTGGCCCCCCACACCACCCCACACTTACATTTCTTACGGGTACTGTTGTATCACAACCCCCCAGTATCCTGCCCTGGGGACCCTGGGGTGGGGTGGGGGGGTTGCAATACCCCAGTACCTGTAAGAAATTCAAGTTACTTTCAGCCCTGGATGGGACCAAGATGGGCAGGCATTGGCAGGAAGATTCAGGGAGTGGCAGAATGTTTAATTCCAGCTCCAGCACCATGGACAGCAGCAAATAACAAAGGCCAGGGAGCAAGGGCTGGGGAAACCAGCCAGAGGGCTCTGTGTGTTCCTGAGTCAGAAATGCTTGGGGGGGACCCAAGGAGAGGTGACCTAGGCTCAAGTCATTAAAGGGCACGTTCTTCGTTGCTTTATTCTCAGGAGCTAAGTACGACACTTAACTGAAAAGTTGCCCACACCCAGGGAATAAGTGGCCAGTGCTCAGGAAGGCCACGTGCCGTTATTCAGACCACGGAGCGGCAGTGGGGGTGAAGTGCCCGTCTCAGGCTTTGGCTTCCTGAACTAACTTTTCTCCATCTGCTGTTGCATGGCCAGTAGCTGGACACTCTCGGATTCCACCCTGGGATCAAGGCGATGAGTGTCGTGAGGAGCTAAGGGTCTGTCTACACTACAGCACTAATTCGAGCTAGTGCATCTAGACCTAAAAACTAATTCAAATTAGCATTTTGCTTGTTCGAACTAGCATGTCCACACTGAGTGGACCCTGAACCGAGGTTAAGGCTGGCCGGAAGCAGTGCCATCAGGGCATCAGATTAGGACTTAGAGCGTGGAGCTGCTGTCTCAGGCTAGCCGAGGGCTCCGCTTAAAGGGACCCCACTCCCACCCCAGACAGACAGTTCTCAGGGGTGCCCCACTTGCAAAGCAGTCCTGGCTTGGAGTGCCCGGAGTGCCCACACTGGGCACATCACAGCACTCGGTCATCAGACCGGCTGCACTTGCCGCAGGCTGCCATCCGGAGGGGGGGCCAATCAAGGGGCTTCAGGAGAGCTTCCACCCCAAGGAGCCCACAGAGCCACCCCAGTCCTCCCCATCGGGGGCTCGTACCCCATTCCTCCCTCACCTCCTTCCATTTACCCCGCCCTAGCCCCCCTTCCTGATGTACAAAATAAAGAACACGTGTGTTCAAAAATAGCAACTCTCTTTATTGAACAAAACTGGGGGAGACTGGGAAAAGGAGCTGGGAGAGGGGAAGAGAGAGGGTGGGAGAGGGGAGGGCAACTAAAATGATCAGGGGTTTGGAACAGGTCCCATATGAAGAGAGGCTAAAGAGACTGGGACTTTTCAGCTTGGAAAAGAGGAGACTGAGGGGGGATACGATAGAGATCTATAAAAGCATGAGT